AAGTAGCTTTTGGCACGGAACAAGAATCCGAGTTTTTGTGAAGCAGCTTTGGCGATGGATCTGACATGATTATCCCATGAAAGAGTGTTGCTGATGGAAATACCGAGCATAGATATGGTGGGCTTGGTGGGGATGATGGAGCCAGACATTACAATATCAGGCATACTGAGTTCCGCCTTTCTAGAGAAAATGCAGGCTTGAGTTTTGGTGGCGTTGAATTCAACTAGGTTGTTTGTTCCCCAGGCTGTGATTTCAGCAAGATCTTCATTGACAGCATTGACCTGCCTGCGCCGTGAGTTCTCAGTTTCCTGGGAAGAAATGGGAATTCTGGAAGAGAAAGAAGTATGGGGGGTACTATCATCTGCAAAGCTGTGGATGGGGCAAGTTGTTACTTGTGGAACGCCGGAATTGATGCCAATGGTATCAGACGATACACCGTCCACCACCACGTGAAGCGATCTGCCTGAAAGAAAACTCGATAAGAGATGGCATAGCTGAGGTGGTAAGCCGTATGATGGTAGTTTGTGGAGGAGTCCTTCGTGCCAAACACGGTCGAATGCTTTCGATATGTCCAACGCGACAGCTAGAGATTCCCCGTGTTTTTCTATTGGAGATTGCCATAAATGGGTGACGTAGGCAAGTAGATCTCCAATAGATCTTCGGTGGCGAAAGCCGTATTGTCTATCATTGATGATTCCTGAGCTCTCCAGATATTTGATAAGCTCAATATTGATGGCTTTCTCCATTACTTTGGAGATTACTGATAACAGGGCAATGGGCCTGTAGTTATTGGGCAGGTTCTTGTTCCTTTTTCTGGGGATTGGTTGGACTCTAGCTGTCTTCCAGCATGATGGAAAAATACCCGACCTGTACGAGATGGTAAACAGCTTGCAGAGAATCGGTGTTAATTCTGGTGCACATTTTTTGAGGATAATGGGTGGAATTCCATCAGGACCGTTAGCCTTATTCGTTTTGAGACCAAGCAAAATTCGTCTGATAGTGCGTTGACGGAAGACGATTTCGGGCATTCGACTCTCAACGGGTGGAATGTCTGGCGGCAGTTTTCCTTGGGAATCTAAAGTAGAGTTTGCTGCGAACATCTCTGCAAAAATATTTGCTTTCTCCTGCGATGTTGTTGCTAATGTGCCGTCGGATTTGGACAGTGGTGGAAATGAACTATTAGTGACATTTCTTCCTACCGCTTTAGCAAGGGACCAAAACGAACGGGAGCCATTGAGGCAATCTATGAGTTTCGATCTTATCTTGGCATTGTATGTTTCTTTCGAAGCATCTATTGTTTGGCTGCAGTTATTCCTGGCATCAACGTATTCTGCTCTAGTCGCGAGGTTAGGGTTTTTGCGCCAGCGATGGTAGGCTGTTTGTTTCAAGGCAACAGTTCTAGAACAGTTTTTGTTGAACCAGGGTTTCGAAGGTGATGATCTTTTCGAAAAATGAGGTATGTATGTGTCCATTCCGAGCATGATGATCTCGGATATTTCCGCAGCACACTGTGAAGGGTCCTCAGAGTCAAAGCATACTCTATGCCAAGGAAACTCGGAGAAAAACATGCGGAGACCGTCCCAATCTCCTGAATTGTAATGCCATATAAGACGTGGGGGTGCCGGAGCAGTTGATGGAATGAAAAATGGGCAGGTTGTGGAGATGAGTGTGTGGTCAGAATTGCCAAGTGGAGCACGTACATCTATGGTGTAGGGTGCTGAATTATTAGTGAGGAATAAGTCAAGTATGTTAGCTGAATGGTTATTGGCATCGGGAATTCGTGTGGGTTCTTTGATGAGCTGCTCTAAACCGTGAGTGATGGCGAAAGCTTCGGCTTGTCGCCCAGCTTCATCCGTTCTGTTAAAGTGTACGAGCCAAGCAGTGTTGTGTACATTGAAATCGCCAATGATGATGATTTCTGCTGCTGGATGGATGTTAAACGAGTCGATGCATAGATTTCGGGAGGATGTAATTCAATATCCTGCGTGGCATTAGCCAGGGAAGTAGTTGTTTTTTTTTCGAAATCTACCATTGTTGTTCATTTACCCATTAACCCTATCAGGCCCCCTAGGCAATGTAATTTTCGGGGCTCTTGTCCCGCGAACAAAAAAGGCGCGTTACAAAACAGCGCTGTAACAAAACAACACGTTACAAAAACAGCGCACATTTCCGTTGTAATTTCAAATGTTCGAATGTTCCATCATTTCAAACATATCTCGTTAGCCATTTAACCTATATATCAGTGATTGATTATCCAACTTATCAAGTGAGTCAGTCGTTGCGTCGTTGATGAGAAAAATAAATTCTCCAATAGTACCATGGAAACGTCATTCGATGTTTCAATTTGACAACGAGCACCTATTGCCTGTAATCAGTGGAAAAATTACGTGATTAGAAAACTAATAGAATTGAATGCTCGTTTATGTCATGTTCCTACTTGGAATATATTTGAATGCAAAAAATTGCCCAGGACAAATAACTCTTTGGGAGCTTGACAAAATTCGTTTTAACATTCATTGGATTGCAATCATCCATCATTTCATAAATTGATTATAATCATCTGAAAAATGAACGAAATCGTGATCATGATGGATCAGGAAACAGAAATGAGACGCGACTATGGTGTTGACCACTCACATTGTTAATCGCCATGGAAATCAAGTATCATAGCCAATGCTTTGTATTTAGTTGAAAACATCCCCTATAACACAATTATGACCCATGGATATCCTTAGGACGTCCTGTCGGGACATTCAGGACGTCCATAGGATATAGGATCTGGTCATGCCAGAATATGTACTACTCGGGACATCCGATGGATGTTTCTGAAGGAACGTTCGAAATCATATCGCATCAGGGCCATGCCAAGGACGTCCTTGCATGGACATTCTACAATATGAACTACGTGGGACGTCTAAGGGATGCTATTTCTAGGACATTCGAAATTATGTACCAGCTGGGACATTTCGTGGACGTCCTTGCTCGAACATTGCATGAGATGTATAGGATGGGACGTCCCAAGGACACTTATACTTGTTCCGGGTCATTCAGACTTGCACCGAATAGGGACGTCCCTAGGACGTTGTGTGCTATTAGGGATTGAAGAGGATCACTGAGTGAGAAAGTTGTCAGAATCATACATGCGAAAGAGAATATGATACTATGATATGATCAATGAATGGTAGATTTTCTGAGTTTTGTTCTCCCGAAATCTACCATTGTTGTTTATTTTATGAACATTGTGTGGAAATTACTTTGATCTTTTGAATTTATTTAACATTCCATTCCACTTTGAGCATTGTGGCTATTTCGTAGTTGAAATTACGTCAGTTGGGCAACCAGCCACTTCCGTATGAGAATTACAGTTCTGGAGTGATTCTTATCTTCGTTTCAAATCAGATGGCGTTGCTTTCATTTTGTCTTCGAAGGACGCCTCTGGGGGAATATAATGCCGACTTGATTTTTGTTTGACAAGGCTACGCTTAGTCAGCGGTCTTAGGACTGCTGGCTGGAAACTGCACTGCACTGATGGACGTCAAAGAGCTCGAAACCAGTCTGTAGGTGTCTAGCGTTGCCTGGCTCAATCGGAATCGAAAGGCATTGAGGAGAGAAACACTTGTATCAGTATTCGTTTAAACGAATTGATGCATAGATTTCGGGAGGATGTAATTCAATGTTGTGTGTGACATAAGCCAGAAAAGTTGTTGTTTTTCACCTTTAATCTACCATTGTTGTTCATTTTATGAACTTTGTGTGGAAATGACTTTTGTATTTATTCGATTCGTTTTTATATTTGTCTCACGAAGCGTACCGAGTAATCTCAAATATAACTTTTGGAGGTTATATTTTCCAATCCAAATTCAAGGTGAATATGAACATCATTCAGATCAACACCAATAAGGTACTTCTGAGGATAATCCAACACTGTGTACCGTTTTCGGAATATTTTTATTTGAAAACAGTTATTTTCATCTATGCCTAAGGGCAAGATATTCTTGAGGTCATCAAAAAGTTTCGCGGCCATGATATACACACATCGAATGGAAGCGAAATATCTCGACAGTTGTTGACATAACGAAAATATGTTCCGACACAAATATCTCCACAATTATTATAGTTTTGGTTTGGCGGCAGTTGCGATGGGTAACAGCAGCGAAGTTGTAATTCGCGTACTGGGTAGAGATCGCCAAGTTTTTTTTTTTTTTTATCGATTGGAGCGCACGAAAGGGAATCCCTATAATGTTCAAAGAACATCGTGCGTTCCTAGGGAGGATAGGGACAGGAGGTAGGTATTGGAATTTTTTTTGAATTTTTGGAGATTATATGTTGTTGGGAATACTTCCACAGGCAATGAATTCCAGAGCCTAGCCGTTCTATGGATGAAGGAGTCTTGATAAAGTGCTGTTCAACATCTTTCGAGGTTGACGACGAAAGGATGTGCTGACTGGTAGTATCATTGAGATCAATTACCTATTTTTCCAAATTCAACACGATAATGATATACTTGTGCTAGGGTTATTTATGCAAGAACAATTCATATATTGACTGAAAACATGAAATAATGAATGAGTTCTCAAAATGTAAGTATTCTGTTTCAACGAATACTCAAATGAAGATGCATTATTCTTTTATACGGTTAAGAATCAGCTGATGGGTTATTAACTTAGCTATAACTTTACAACCCACTTCTTGCAATAATAATTGCTGTCTGGAGTTTTCAGTCAATGGATGAAGATTTAGCTTGATTGATAAATGTATTGCTAGACAGCAACACGTGAATGAAATGCGTTTATGGCGTTCAGCGTGTAATGGCCCTCGGCTAACGCTATCGGGCCATTATTCACGCAGGTCATAAACGCATACTTCACGCCCTTGATAAAAAAATATTCATTTTATATGAATTGAATGGTCCCTATCATCATCACATGATCAGGCTTCATCATAGTGATATTCTCGAAAAGATTTCATCGATCTCCTCATTACTGAGATAATATCACTGAGTTTTTCATTATCAAATGTGAACCACTCGAAAGATAATAACATTTGTATATTGATAAATATGAATTTGTATGTTCGAATGACATAACAATTGGGTGCAACAATGACACGGAACCATTACCTGTGTGTGTTTTTATACGTTTATTCCATAGAATGTGCCAAAATTCTGGGAGTATTTCCGGTACCCTCAATCAGCCATCAAATAGTTTTTCAACCAATCTGGAAAGAATTATCCTTGAGAGGACACGAGGTCACCGTTATAACGCCAAATCCTCTCAGGGATGCGTTGTTATCGAACTTGACAGAAATAGATGTCAGCTCCAGTGCGAAGAGAGCCATGGATAACAGCAACATCATGAAGAATCTGGATATAACAAAATCAGTGTTTTCAAGAATTATGTTTGGTAATCACCTTCTTGATGCTTTAGTCAAAGAAGAACTCGAGCAAGAAGAAGTTTCAGAGTTGATCAAGAGTGATGAAACATTCGACTTGATAATTCTACAAGTGTTCGCTATGCAGCCTGTTGTTTATGGTTTTGGTGCTAGATTTGGATCGCCAATTATCATTGGTGAGTGGGGCCTCTCCATTTTATTCTGAACAAATATATTTCAGGAATTATATGTATACATGGTTTCCCAAATTTCAGAAAACAAACAATGAATATTCATACAATTCATAGAATCCAGAAAATGGGTTGTTCTTTACATAGTTCTTTTTTGGTATTTCTTCCCACGTTCTCATGAAATTACGAGTGTCATATTTTCGTAGTGGATTCAAAATAAATTTTCATCCCAAGATGTCATGCGTGAATAATTTCACTATAAGAAACCTGAAAGAACCATTTCTAATCGTCAGTTTTTCAATTCTCAAAGAGTTTGAGAAGAAGGAATTTCTGTTGAAAAAATGATTGATTTTCAGTCAGCTTCATAGTGTGTTGGCTCATTTGACATTAAATTGAATATCGTGTATTTCTTTCTTGATAGCAAAACTTCAGTAGAATATGGAATCCATTCTTGATATTCGAATTTGATAATTTCAGATGATTTTTCTATTGACCATCATAAAATTGCAGTTGAAACGCTAAAGATCTAATCTTATCAAAGATCATTCCATTCTTAATTGATGGTTAGCACCAGTGTGAACTCAGTAGCCCCTATTCAGTAGCCCCTAATACGGAAATACCCGTATGACCAGTGGCGTGCATCAGTTAAAATTCCAGTTTTGGAAGGAAGAATAAACAAAAAACTTGGAAAAATCAGAAATGATTCACTTGCCAACATGCTGTAACGAGAATTCTTCAGCGGTCGAACGATGTGGAACAAGGGTGACCTACTTTTTTACTTCAAGGTGAATCTTCCAAACTGTCAATTCAAGAAAAAAATATGACAGAATTGTGGACGGCAGCTTTTCATCCGAGAACAGATAAGTGAGTTCGACGTAGAACTAGATGCATACAAATTCAAGTTATCAGGGGGCACCACTCAATTAGAAGAAAATATTTCAGTTTGGAGAATTGAGAAAACCAACTACTTCAGATGATGGTCGAATTCTGAGAATGAGAATGTATTATCGTCTTAAATTATTGATGGCAGACGAATTCATAAAGAAAATGCAGAATTTATTTCGCACCATTTTATTTTCTGTGAACTCAAATGAGGCACATTTGGACTTGTGAGGCGGCTAATGAAAAATTCGTGACTGTAGGTGTGAAGGGATTCGAGTATCACAAACTGATCAGGTAAGCATTAATTATCAGGGCAGGAGTTCATGATTTGAATAATTATATATATTGATCAGTATCTACCAATGATCAGATAGAAAACAAATCAAAAAACCAAAGGAATCTAGTGCAAAACCTATAGCTGTCGCTTAGCGTTATGAGAGGGCCTTACAGGGTGGTTTCACGTTCAATTCATTGAATAATTGATATTTGAATGAATTCCCAGACAGAAACCTGATATTACAGCCTCTTCAGAGATCAAGATCATCCCGAACACAGTCCATTCCACCAGGATGGTGGCACAGGTTACCGCCAACAACGACAACATAAATAGGGGCTCCTCCACAAATCTGCTAGGCTGAACATCGCGGTCTCTATATCTCCCTGGTATTCCTCCTGGAGCTATCACGAAGTTAAGCATGACATATTGGCTCCTGGCATACTCTGGTCGAACTCAGAAGTCCTCTAATACTGAGTTTTCAATTCTCCTGGAATTCTGTATAGAATTGATTGACTTATATATATTTCGAGAATATTATTTGCCAAGAAAGTAGATGTCTTTTGTTCGACATTGTGACAATAATTTTCTTATTTCAAACAAAATAATCCCAAATCAAGGGGATATTTGGACGATGGGAGACAGTGCGATGTTATGAACTTGGATAGGAGATTCATTCCACATTCCACAATCAGATATTGAAATAGAAACAGTTATTCGCATTTGGTATATTGCTGCACAAATATAAAAAAAATAAGCGGAAAATGGGAGAACTAGCTGCACGAGCTCAGCAAATCGTTCAGTTTGAAATAATTCCTGAAACATTATTTCTAGGTATATCTACCCTTGAGGTATTCTTGCACACCCATGATACCTTCGGCAACCCTACTCACGCTCTGGTCACCCCCGATATGATGCTTGGTTTCAAGGGTGATCTAACATTCGCGAACAAGGTGGAGAGTCTACTATTCAACATCTGGTATCGAATGCTATACTACTGGTACGCTTTACCTAATGCAGATAAAGTCGCAAGAAAATATTTTGGTGAAGACATTCCGTATCTAGGAGATATCGAGAGAAATACTAGTTTGCTGTTGGTGAACTTGAATCCCATAATGCACGGTGTCAGGCCAAATGTGCCCAATGTCATAGAAATCAACCAGATCCATATTAAGAAGAAGAAGCCGCTGCCTGGGGTAAGAATGTATTGATTCACTAACCACACCGTCGTTCCGTTTCACAAAAATGTAAATTGATAATTCAAAGTTTGAAAACTCATTAACAAAATAATGAATATTTTGAATAGTATTCAGTAGTTTCCTATCGTGGTATAGTCATCAGGTTTGAATCGAATAACAAAGAAGCGAATTCCGACAGCACATGATATTTGGTCCTATATCTATCATAACATTGCTACATTGCTACATGATTGGTCGTTAATTTGTGTCAATTTCATTAAATTCTCTGTAGGGTCTGCTGATAGTTCTATCACACTTTCGCCATCGATAATGAATGAGTCCATGAGTCCGGAATCACTGTTTTCAGCCATGTCACGCATTTCAACGAAACAAAGTTGAAAATTGTTGATGAGCCTAAGTGAGCCCGTGTATTGAATCATTCGCAACAATATTCTTATGGAGAAACTTGAGTCGAGTATTGAGAGTATAGGACAACATGTATAATAATTTCACATTGTACAAATTGATAGCTCATTTTTTCACCAACAGAACCATGTGAAATTACACCAGATGTACAAGTAACAAATTGCGTTACCTACATTCTTGTCCAAATAATAAAAAATGGAATCTGGACCTTTATATCATTATGTTGTAATGTAGATCCGACCAAATATCGAGAGTGCTCTTGGGATTCACTTCGCGAAACCAATTTAAATCATACGTTTTTTTACGGTTAATGAAGGGATGAAGTGAACTGTTGCATTCAAATCGACACAAAAAATACTTTGCTTGCAACTTGGTGAGCTCATTTCAAGTTACACAAAGTAGTTTTTGCTAAAAATTATATTCACCTTTCTCAGTCTCATTGTTTTTTCATGAATATCAGTTGTTTAGATACACCATGTATATATTTTTATTCTCAATGTTAATCAAGGTTGATGTTGAAAAAAAGCTTAATGACAATAATAAATAAAACTGGACATGTCAGAATTTTCTTAAAAAAACATTAATTCGTTCTTCGACCCTGGATAACAGGAATAATTACAGGTAAACTGAAACATATGGTTCTTCGACCCTGGATAACAGGAATAATTACAGGTAAACTGAAACATATGGTCCTTCGAGATATTTAAAGAACAGCACTGTGAACTACATCTACAATGAACGGAAGTAAATCCATTGAGAATTTAAGACGGAGCCAAAGAATCATCGAGAAGAAGTCAACAGGAAAGGCTAAATCTGAAGGAAAGATTGCAGCAGGGGACACTCAAGATGTTCAACAGGTCAGTTCTGGAGCTGTATCGAAGAAGAATAGCAGTCTTGGTAGTCAAGCTTCAAGAGTGAGAAAATTGGAGATTGAAAATGCCACAAAGAAGAAGACATTGGAAAAAGAAGAAATGAAACGGCAACAGGAACTTTTGGATTTGGAATTGGCGTTGAAATCAGCAGGAATTGGTGAGGAAAGTGAAGAAGGTGAGTCAATGTCGATGCATGAGTCTCAAAAGCCTAACGTGGAGGAATGGGTCTACAGGAACACTCCATGTGATTACAGGTGCGACAAAAGAGAGGACAAGCACTCGATACTAACGACAAAGGGAGATGAGCTGGTGAGAGAATCCTTTTCTAGAAATAAGCAGGAAATGTATTCTACCTCACACATTGATGATGCTCCTTATCAAATGACATTTCCTCAAATGACTAAAATCTTAACAAGGCAATCTTTACCAAGAGATCTTCCGATTTTCGATGGAAATCCAGTGGATTGGCCAAATTTCATTTATCATTACAATAATTCTAATACCATTTGTGGATATTCCAATGAGGAAAATCAATCAAGATTGCAGAAGTGCCTCAAAGGAAACGCGAAAAGAATTGTTCAATCTTTGTTGATTATGCCACAGAATGTTGCAAAAGTGATAGCATTACTGAAAACTCGTTTTGGTCGACCAGATCACATTATTATGATATTACTAGACAAAATAAAGAAGTTTCCACAAATTAAAGAAGACAAACTTGAATTATTCATCGAATTTTCTGATGAAATAAAGAATTTTGTGGCAACTATAGAGTCATTGGAAGAGGAAGATCATTTACATAACACGATTTTACTGAACGAAATCTTGAGTAAATTACCAACCTCATATCAGCTTTCCTGGGTAGAGCACCTTTCTCAAATATGCAAGCCACAGTACAAACTTGTCGAATTTGTAAATTGGCTCGATGGAAAAGCGAACGCTGCTTGCCAAATTCATATTCCAAAATTTGACACGAGGAACGACAACGTCAATCAACAAAATTCGAAATTCAAGAATGTCAAAAAAGCTGTTACTCTAGCAACGAGTAAAAATACGTGTCTTTGTTGTAAAGGTGATATTCACCATCTTACAGACTATTCAAAATTTCAATCATTGACTGTAGATGATAGGTGGTCCTTTATAACAGAGAATAAGATTTGTTTTTCTTGTTTATTTCCTTTCCACAAAATTAAACAATGCAGAAAAAGGAAGGTATGCGGAATTAACGAATGTAAAAGATCACATCATCAACTTTTACATAAAGACCCTCTTCAGAAGTATGAGAATTCCAAAATTTCAGATGATACTGCTGTTGTCGGAACTAATAGTCACAGTTCAAAAAACGATACTGTCTTATTGAAAATTGTACCGGTAGTAGTTGTTTATGGCAATAAGAAGTCTGAAACTTTCGCGCTGCTGGATGATGCTTCGACTATATCATTGATTGATGACGATTTTGCTAATTCTTTAAATATGACCGGTCCAATACAAAGTCTCAGCTTGCAATGGACAAATAACGATTTAGTCCACCAGCAGAACGATTCAAGAATAGTTTCATTCACTATCAGAGCTAGAGATAATGGTTCTAGCTTTCAATTGCGTCATGTACGAACCACTAAATTATCGCTTCCTTCTCAAACCATAGATATTGATGGAATCAAAAGGCGTTATCCATATGTTGACGACAATATTGTTTCTATGAAAAGTGCTCAGCCACAAATATTGATAGGACAAGACAATTGGCCACTTCTGGTGAACAGAAGATTGATCACTGGACCATGGAGTGGACCTGCAGTCAGCAAAACTTTATTGGGATGGGTGCTTCATGGAAATTTGGATAACTCTACAAAGAACCAACATTTTGTTTGTCATATCCACAGCCAATACGACGAGAAGGAAAAGATGATTTAGATATCCTCCACGATATGGTGAAAGAACACTGGAAGATGGAATCCGTCCAAGGAGCATCTGATAAGGTGATGTCCATAGAAGATAGGAGAGCGCAACTAATTTTGGACACAACGATGAAAAGGATTGGTGATAGATATGAAACCGGACTGTTATGGAAAACGGACAATACCATACTTCCTGAGAGTAAAATCAATGCTTTAAAAAGACTGAGATATACTGAGCAAAGAATGGACAGAAATATGGTATACGGTGAATCATATTGTGATAAATTCCGAGACATGGAAGAGAAAGGGTACATAAAGAAACTCACGAAAGAAGAAGCGGATAAGGTTAATGACAGGACATGGTATTTACCTCATTTTGGTGTGACAAATGTACATAAACCGAATAAATTGAGGATTGTCTTTGATGCTTCCGCCAAAAGTCATGGTGTAAGTCTGAACCATCACTTGCTAACAGGTCCTGACTTATATAATTAACTGAATACTATTTTATTGAATTTCCGAATTAAAAAATATGCCTTTACAGCTGACATTAAGGAAATGTTCCTACAGGTTAAAGTGAGAGCAGAAGATTGCTGTGCTCAACGGATATTATGGCGTGGAATGGAAAGGAACGTTGAACCTGATGTCTATGAAATTGTTGTGGTATTTTTTGGATCAACCTGTGGCCCTTGTTTAGCACAAGAGGCAAAAAATAGGAATGCCAATGACTTCAAAGACAGGTTTCCAGAAGCGACGAATGCCATTGTAAACCAGCACTATATGGATGATTATCTAGGATCTGCAGACACGGCAGAGGAAGCTAGAAAATTGATAGAAGAAGTAGTATATGTACACAAAGCAGGAGGTTTCGTTATTTGTAATTGGACAGCGAATAAGAAGGAAATCCTGCGAAGCTTAGACGCAAATCTTTTAGCTGCGGGTGGAGAAGAATGGAAGGAAAATGGAGAATCAGAATCTGCAATGGAAAGGATACTGGGCGTATTTTGGAATCCATATGCGGACATATTCAGTTTCCGAACAAAATTTCAAAAAATTGATCAAGATATTCTGGAAAACCGACGAAGACCTACAAAAAGGGAAGTTTTGAAAGTTTTGATGTTTATTTTCGACCCTTTAGGATTGCTGGCAATTTTTTTGATACAGGGCAAAGTTTTATTGCAGGACATTTGGAGAAGTCAAATTGGCTGGGATGACGAAATTTCGGACTGTGCGACCTACCTCAACGCTCTAAAACCTTAAAGTCGCATAAACCGGCTGTCAGAATGACAGACGGGTAGTTTGCCGCTCGCTACAGTGGAGATGGGGGGGTTCGATATGAAGAAAAATCGTTAAAAATGAATTCTCATAGTGAAATGGGCGCCAGATAAATTTACCCCTGGCAAACACCCTTAGTTGCTAATCAACTCACCAAATTTACCAAAATAAGTTGATGAAAATCAAAGGAAATAATTAACTCGGTATAACAATAACAACTTCAGTTTAATTGCATCAAAACAAAAAAAAATATATGAATGGTACAGAATCTTATCGCAAATTCAATATTCAATATTAATAAAAATTGTACAAAATCTCACAGTGTCAACTCAAAAATACTTAGGCCTTTAGTGTGAATAGATGATTATAAATGAAATGGTAAATAGATGGAATCAAATAATATTCTATGACCCCACAGTCTCAAATTAAGTATAACCAATGTAATATGGGTAAAGGGGCTTACCAAGCCTTATGCATAAGCGCTGGGTTTCCCTAAATATTCGAAAAGTAAAATGAGGTGTGTGGAATCAGAAGAACATTCGATATAAAGTAA